AGCACTCTACTAACCTGTACAAACATGATAACGATACTCCCGAGCTCAAACAATTCACTTGAATATTTTGATAAATTATCGACTTGTTACTCACCTTTGGCAAAATAAAGTTTTCAATTGCTTTAAACGACGAACCGTTTTCTGTTGTACCAGGGTCTTGGAAAGAGAAATAAACAGATATAATTTCGCTCTGAAACGAGATAAAACAATTTAGATCAAATAACTTGTAAACGGTATTTATAAACTGCATGGTTTAACCTTAGTTGTTCTGTCGTAGAGTCGAACAGAAGAGTTTCTTTTTGAATTCAACGATGATAAAGAGATGCCAAGACGAGTCAAAATAATGGGACGGATGATCTGTATAAAAATAATTGTATTGTATTGCCAACCCAAATTTTTACTCCTGAAGCCAAACAGACACTTTATGCAACAGGTTTCAGACTTTGTTCAGAAGGTCCCAAAAGTTCAATGCAACAGTGTCCGTTGAGCAGTTCTTAATGGCTACAAATAACTAACTAATACTCACATCAAAGTCCCATCCGATAGATCCACTGTGAAAATATCTCAAATTTTCTTCATTTGCTCGTTTGTAAGCAATTACTTCATTTTCGTAGTCTAAACATCAATATGACAAACATATAAACACGTTTGATCATGCACTCGTTCCAGCCTCTATGACGGTAAAATCTCCATGAGAGATAGCAACACATATTTCCATCAAGACTGTCTGATCTTCGCTACAAATACATACAGCAATGATAAATTCGCAGCAGTGGCTGATTAATAATTATGGAGCATGTAGGCTAAGGCAAAATTACGAGGCCTGGTGATATTTAATCCCTCCACTAAGCTCAGTCTCTTGACAACGTTTGCGTTCTTTACGTTCCTTTGCCTTTGCATTTCCTAGCTTGCGTTTGTAACACATAGTGTGAACGATACAAAAGAAATTAATAGTTCAAAATAAACTTTAAAAATTATCAAAACAGTCTGCAGAAATAGGGAAATCCTCGTCAGTTCTTAGCCTCGCGCATTTAAACACTAGATGGTACGAAAGTCTTTTTCGTCGATATTCAATCGCACGTACGGTTTTCAACATCATAAATGGTCTAAAAACGGCACTTTTAGCAAGTTCCAAGCAGCAAAAAGTAAAAACTAACAATGTCTTGGTTTACTTTTCGTAATGAGTAATCCGCAACTGATTAACTTTAAATATCACATGTATAGTAGGTTATGTTCGACGTTTGTAAATATGTGCCTCGTTAGTTTATCGCCTGCATCGAGATTCCAACGTCATATTGTTTTATATCGGCTTTTTCCAGGCGCCAAACCTCACAACTATCAAATCAAAAGTAAATTTTCAAACTTGGAGATGATCACAGCAATTACCGGCACCTTACAAACGACTTATTCACAATACAAACAAACGATCAACTAAAAACATTACACTTCAAACTAATTCACAATGACAATACACAATTGACACCCACACACTACAACTAAAAACGTCACACCTAAATCACACATCACAACTAAAAATAAAATATTTCACTTCACACTAATCCACAATGACAATACACATTTCCTGCACATTTCCTGTACACACAATACAATGACGTAAGAACCAGACAACAAATACGGCTAACCTGACGTTTACTCCTCATTTGACTCTGAAGATGACTACCGCTAAGGTTGTCGAAACGTCAGTCAACAACATCAAAAACAGTCCTTCTCAGGACTTTATTAACCTGGACGATCATCATTTACAAACATATAACGATACTCCCGGGTTCAAACCATTTACTTTATTGAAGACATACGTTGTAAACGTTCTCTGGTATTGAAGAAATACGTTGTAAACGTTCTCTGGTATTGAAGAAATACGTTGTAAACGTTCTCTGGTATTGAAGAAATACGTTGTAAACGTTCTCTGGTATTGAAGAAATACGTTGTAAACGTTCTCTGGTATTGAAGAAATACGTTGTAAACGTTCTCTGGTATTGAAGACATACGTTGTAAACGTTCTCTGGTATTGAAGAAATACGTTGTAAACGTTCTCTGGTATTGAAGAAATACGTTGTAAACGTTCTCTGGTATTGAAGAAATACGTTTTAAACGTTCTCTGGTATTGAAGAAATACGTTTTAAACGTTCTCTGGTATTGAAGAAATACGTTGTAAACGTTCTCTGGTATTGAAGAAATACGTTGTAAACGTTCTCTGGTATTGAAGAAATACGTTGTAAACGTTCTCTGGTATTGAAGAAATACGTTGTAAACGTTCTCTGGTATTGAAGAAATACGTTGTAAACGTTCTCTGGTATTGAAGAAATACGTTTAAACGTTCTCTGGTATTGAAGAAATACGTTTTAAACGTTCTCTGGTATTGAAGAAATACGTTGTAAACGTTCTCTGGTATTGAAGAAATACGTTGTAAACGTTCTCTGGTATTGAAGAAATACGTTGTAAACGTTCTCTGGTATTGAAGAAATACGTTGTAAACGTTCTCTGGTATTGAAAAATACGTTGTAAACGTTCTCTGGTATTGAAGAAATACGTTGTAAACGTTCTCTGGTATTGAAGAAATACGTTGTAAACGTTCTCTGGTATTGAAGAAATACGTTGTAAACGTTCTCTGGTATTGAAGAAATACGTTGTAAACGTTCTCTGGTATTGAAGAAATACGTTGTAAACGTTCTCTGGTATTGAAGAAATACGTTGTAAACGTTCTCTGGTATTGAAGAAATACGTTGTAAACGTTCTCTGGTATTGAAGAAATACGTTGTAAACGTTCTCTGGTATTGAAGAAATACGTTGTAAACGTTCTCTGGTATTGAAGAAATACGTTGTAAACGTTCTCTGGTATTGAAGAAATACGTTGTAAACGTTCTCTGGTATTGAAGAAATACGTTGTAAACGTTCTCTGGTATTGAAGACATACGTTGTAAACGTTCTCTGGTATTGAAGAAATACGTTGTAAACGTTCTCTGGTATTGAAGAAATACGTTGTAAACGTTCTCTGGTATTGAAGAAATACGTTGTAAACGTTCTCTGGTATTGAAGAAATACGTTGTAAACGTTCTCTGGTATTAAAGAAATTCGTTGTAAACGCGACAGGCCAATTTGAAACACTGTTCTACACTTTACCTTCACAAATATTGTGTTTGCTGTAACGTTTCACACGCTAAGTAGCTCTAATTGAATACAAAACACACTACAGCTACCCTCAAGAAAATTCAGTGTTTTCCCTGTGCTTACCTTTTATTTAGAGATGAATGTCGTCTTGCATAGCCAACCCATGATTCACGTAAACTTTGCCTCAAATCAAAGTTGCCGCGCGATGAAAGTATTCCAACGACCAAATCATAATGAGAATAATTCTCTGCTGTCAAGAACATTATTTTAAAACATTAAAGAAAACAAGTGGAAACACAAATACAAAATGGACTATGTAGGATAAAGTTTTTAGATAACATGGTTAAATAACACTAGCGAAAGTTTCAATAAAAGATCACTCTTGATGAAAACATAAGACTGGAGTATATAAGGACTCAAGATTCAACATCAGATCACTCCTGATGAAGACACTAGACTGGAGTATATAAGGACTCAAGATTCAACATCAGATCACTCCAGATGAAGACATTAGTCTGGAGTATATAAGGACTCAAGATTCAACATCAGATCACTCCTGATGAAGACACTAGACTGGAGTATATAACGACTCAAGATTCAACATCAGATCACTCCTGATGAAACATAAGACTGGAGTATAAGGACTCAAGTTTCAACATCAGACTCCTGATGAAGACACTAGACTGGAGTATATAAGGACTCAAGTTTCAACATCAGATCACTCCTGATGAAGACACTAGACTGGAGTATATAAGGACTCAAGATTCAACATCAGATCACTCCTGATGAAAACATAAGACTGGAGTATATAAGGACTCAAGATTCAACATCAGATCACTCCTGATGAAGACACTAGACTGGAGTATATAAGGACTCAAGATTCAACATCAGATCACTCCTGATGAAAACATAAGACTGGAGTATATAAGGACTCAAGTTTCAACATCAGATCACTCCTGATGAAGACACTAGACTGGAGTATATAAGGACTCAAGTTTCAACATCAGATCACTCCTGATGAAGACACTAGACTGGAGTATATAAGGACTCAAGATTCAACATCAGATCACTCCTGATGAAAACATAAGACTGGAGTATATAAGGACTCAAGTTTCAACATCAGATCACTCCTGATGAAGACACTAGACTGGAGTATATAAGGACTCAAGTTTCAACATCAGATCACTCCTGATGAAGACACTAGACTGGAGTATATAAAGACTCAAGTTTCAACATCAGATCACTCCTGATGAAGACACTACGCTAGAGTATATGTAAACTCATCTTTCAAAACATATCGTTTATACTCAAGATATTAGATAGACGTACGACAATCTATAATGTCATATAAATCACGATAAAAAATCTGGTCCCCGGAGTCGACATGCTATCAGGCAGGCAACAAACAAAGATGAGATAGCTGTACAAACCTGTATTATCGCAGCAAAGCTTCAAATCTTTAACAACAAGATGATTATAGATGTATAACACGAAAATAGCGATCAATATTAGTAAAGTTGGCTTAAGGATGTCATTTAATGTAAACATAAGTTGAAATTAAACAGTTACAATTAACTATAGCGTATAAATATCTTTCCCTATGTAAAATAATCTATACATTATCCTCAATAACGAACTATACACATTGTTGCATTTTAATATATACGAACTTTGACCTCGGGTGTGTTGCGGAAACGTCATGTAAGGAGTCTTAAAGCATCAATATAAATTAGCAAACTTTGTGATCTATGTTACTTATTGAACTTAAATTGAGCAATACAAAATCTTAATCTTCAACAAAACATATCCAAAATATTACTATGAATGTATAAAAGTATACAATCGCTAAAAGATCACATTTGCACGCTTATTCAAAACTCTTCTAAGGTTATCGTTTGCGCCTATTACGTAGGTTTGAGGGACAATATAAGTACATGCATGTACAACAAAAAGAACACGGGTGAAGGCTTTAATTCGTATTACTTACTTTTGAGTACAGCGCATGTGCAAGGAATGGTAGTTTACGAAGAGTTCGACCACTTAGTTGATAACTTTTTCTAAACAAGAAAATGAGAGAAAGAATACTTCGTAGGTTTATCACAGTGAGACGCTTGACTGCTCCTTGCAAGTTCAAAAGGAGAAGGGCCTCCCAAAGAAACCTAACCAAAAGTCAACCAATATTCGTGATTATTTGAGAGTGGTCCATTACTTGATAACTACTGACTACGATAACAAAGAAAAAACATCTTTACGCCTTAAATGTAGATGTAATAAAAAGTTAAATTTTATTTATGTTGCAAGTATTAAGACGGTATATTTTAAACCTCAGTCCTAAATTATTTGAGAACTCATCTGAACATGCACAAACAACTCAACAAACTGTTCGAGTTTACAATAATGGCAATGACAAACAGAACAAGCTTGCATCCTTCTGTGGTTCACTTGGTCACATATTGGGAAATCATTAATTTCAATCATAATGAGAAATTTAGTCATTTAACAAATTTTTCATATTCATAGTGATGGCAACAACAAGCTGGACCTATTTTCATCACTTACTGAGTAATTAATCGCTTGGTCACAAAATATAAGAAGATCATCTGAGCATTCGCAGTACGCTTGGGCATGCGCAGCACGCTCAAGCATGCAAAGTCCACTTGACCAATTGTCCGAGTTGATAGTCATGGAAACGACCAACTACATTTACTAGCATCAATTAGGGAGTATATAACTTGCTTATTAACAAACTATTAAAGATATCAACTGAGCATGCGCAGTTAAATTGATTGGCTGCCAATGTTCATGGTCATGGCAACGACCAATTGCATCTACTAGCCCCGATTTTGAAGTAAATAGCGTGTCAATTTAATGGAGAAATCATCTGCGCATGCGCTCGAGCATGCGCAGCCCACTCGACTAATTGTTTATAGTCATGGCAACGACTAACTAGATGTACTTGCACTACATCTGGGGCAATTATCCCACTTAATCGCAAATTATCAAAGAAATTATCTGGGCATGCGCAGTTGTGACTTTAATAATACCACAAATTTCGTAAGCCTCTAATTTTTGTATATATAAATATAAATCTATAGCTTCATATAGTAGATGTCAACTAGCAGTGGAAGCTGGGTGCGATATAGTATGCAGTGGCTTAGGGTCCACACTTCGGTGGCGACCGCACTCTCCTGCGTACCCCGAGCAAAGCCTATCGCAGGTGATCTCGGGTCTGATGGGCGGAAGCTTGCTATTGCATCTCCCAAGTAGGATAGCGTGGAGGGGCCGAAATCTGCTACCGAAACGTTAACATGCCGCGTTTTAGTGCCTTACGCTTAAGAAGGTATCGGGAAGCATGGACCGAAAACGGGGTTTTTTCCTTTCAAAATTTGTCTTTTTTCTTTACAAGAATTCTTCTCATAAAAGAAACTAGAACATACTGCCAGGGTTCAGACAACTTCTGAAAATCCCCCGGGCGTAGTTTCGTTTTCTTTGTAAAACGAGAAGAATACTAACTTGAAAACATGAAGACTGGGTGACATAATATTTACCATAAACTAAGACAAGAAATGTTTATTTTACTCTGTGACATCACTTTACTTTAAAGTGAAAGGTTTGAACATGGGAGTATCGTTACATGTTTGTAGATGTAGATCGTCCAGGTTAGTAAAGTCCTGAAAAGAACTGTTGTTGTTGATGCTGACTCTAAAGATGACTACCGCTAAGGTTGTTAAGAAGTCAGTCAACATCAACATCAACAGTCCTTCGCAGGACACCACTAACCTCGACGATCTACATCTACAAACATCTACTTCACTTACTCGGCTATCTTCTTTAATTCAAGACTACAGTGTGTTACATCGTTGTCGACAAAGCTACAATGGAAAATAGGGAAAAAAAGTTGTACATCGGAAAAGAAAACCATGTCATCAACATAGAAGTGAACAAAAAAATTTCTAACAAACACCGTCAATTTTCGTCAAAATAAAATTTCGTGTATTTTTTCAGTTGTACCTTAAATCCAAAATTTGAGTGGCTGGTGATATGATACTGGTCTGTGATGAAACGGTGAACATTAATTTTGATTATTAAAAAATTATCTACAATGCAATCGTTTGCAATCAATTTCTATATAGCTGCACACCTCTCTATTTAAGCAACATGTTTGTATAACTTGCACAAACGACTATATTGTGGTATGGAAATAAAGCAGTAGACGTAAAGGTACAAAGTACTGAGAAGAGGGGATATACTTCACGAGGCAAATTGTTGTTTTATATTGTATATGATGACAGGTTGCGGTAAGCCATTTCGGCGTTCCTTTGGCCAGAAAACATAATTGACCGGCAGCCATTTCGTTGATCACGTGCACAAGAAGACATAAGTTACATACAAACAAATGGTAAATTTTGTAAATAGCTTTGGCTGATGGCGGACCAATATACTGTTTGATGTCGGCTCTGTGGGCGAACAAATAGCGAAGTTAGATGAGAAAGTGAATTAAAAAACTTTCGAGTCACAAACATATTTTTCAACCTGTCCACGAACGCAACGTCTATGGCTCTAGTTATGTTCGATGTTGTCAATATAATTACATTAGGATGTCTGAAATAAGAAGAAAACAACATTGGGGAAGACTAGGTTTAGCAAATAAACGCATAAATGTAGTTCAAATCAAGACTTCTGTAAATACGTAATTGATAGATAATAAGTATTTGACTGAGCAAAGTTGTCATCAAGCAAGTTTGTTCATGTCATATAAATATTTTCGTGCTTTTACTCCCTGTAAAAGCGACAACATTGTAGAGAAAGAAATAATACATAGTTCTAAAGATAGCAAATACCATAGTGAATGGTAAATGTAATATAATAAGGAAGATTGTTTTACTCTTGAACACAATACATAGAGACACATATATATAAGGATTTCCGGTTGTATTTCATAGTTGATACATCTTGACTTACAATTCACTGACTGACAACGTCAATCAAAACATGAACGACTTATTATATAGAATGTAAACGGTCCATATAAAACATCCGTTTCCCAAAAAATTAATGCCATTTCCAACCACCCAATCTTCCTCCAAGAATGAACAAACAGTAAGTTCTTATTAATTGTATTCATACAAATTCTATTAGTTTACATCGAAGTTTCGAATACTTGGCTATCATTTGAAAAATTGTTTTGATTTAGTCAAATTTTATATTACATACGTATGATCTTATTTTAATTACAAAAAATTTCTATGAGAATATCAAGTGTACGCTGCTTGAAATTTTGTGCAAGTTATTTCAAAATAGGTGGCAGAAGTCTCTTTTGGAATACTTGAATTTCTTTTGAAATTCTTCACTAAATTAGAGAGCGAGGGAACTCTCTAGTTTAGTTAGAATATTGTAAAAATCTTTTATGTGCATGTTTTGTGTTTTTGTGCATGTTTATGATCATCTGCAAACACCGAAGAATGGAAGTCGAAAATTTTGTCTTCTCGAAACATGCCTTCTTTAAATTTTAATATCTTCCAAAAATAAGTAATAAATATTGGTTTAACTTACTGCAAGAAGCGTTGCTTGACAATGACAGGTTACGGCAATGTGGTTCTGAAAGAAATTGAAGCAAAGAAGATTTGATGAACGATACAAACAAATACATGCTTACATCTCTGTTCTGCTATTCTTGATCTTATCGACCTCTGCATCTGAAAAATACTGAGGAAAAAGTTGCAGTATGATGAAGCAAACAAGCAAACAACTGACAAACAAACACATACCGCAGTCTCAATCTTCATCGTTCAGTGCCATGAATAACTGTAAGAATAATGTTAAAATACAATCATGACGAACTGTAGGAGCATATAAATTTTCAAAAACCAGTGTTTGCAGACGATCTGTCGAAATTTCTATCAAAACTGGTACTTTACGATGATTTCAGAAAACAGCTGTAAACTGCAAACATTTACAGGAAAGGTTTACTTTTATGGCACAAAAGTTACTGTCAGATTTTTCAAACGAAGTCAATCATCTCCATTGAACATAATGGACAGACGAGCATTCATGACGAGCCCTCAAGTTGGATTCGAAAATTTGAAACAGTTTCCTCTCCCGAGGAATTATCTTTATGATTGCAATAGTTCTATACAATCATACAAAATAGCTATTTTGGCTAAATCATTTACCAAACATTAGAACATCACCGGAAGTTAAATTTTTATTGCTTTGTAGACACTGTTATAACATCCCTCAATATTATAACAGTGCAATCATAGGCACAAATAAACCATTAAATATTCAAAGTAGACGGCTAGTCTGACTGGCTCGTGATAATCATTTCGCATAGATGTTGAGTTTAAAGATTTTGCAATACTCTGCCAGCGTATTGCAATTTCTCTTTCAACCATGATGATTGATTTAATGTAAATTAGATTTTGTTTTAATTTTACACAAGATATGAGCGCAAGAAGCACTCTTATATTAACATGCTCTAAAGCATGTTAACTGATTTGTGCTAACATCTACAAAATTACTCCATGGTATATAGAAGCGCCAGTCAGTTGTTGCACAAGTACAACACATCTCTTTACTACCAAATCCCCCAGTTATTACCAAATCAAGCACGTGTCAGAACTAGGCAATAATCAAACATAAGCTAGCTCTCTGTTGGTCGGTCGAATTATTGATATGGACAATGAAGAAGGATGTTTTGGGTCGAAGGATGATCTGTTTCTTCCGTTAGCAACATCTTGAAGTCAACTTTGTTGTCTAGAAATATAGAATACGAGAGAAATGAATTGATTTTTTCAGTATCGGAAATCATCGCACCATGAACTTATTATGTTCGTTAATAAATCACTAATCACTTTGGTTACTTCTTAGTACTTTAACATGGCTCTCTGATCAAATAATTTAGTATGTTCAGCATCATAAATTATTGTGACACCTGGCTCTTGCGTTCACTTCATTGCCATCTTTTCTTATTATCGTCAGTGATTCTTAACCGTGTACACTTTTAAATTATTTGTTTTAAAATTGAGTTTCTTAGCCTGTGGCTGTCATAGAAAAATGATTTTCTTCTTTTCAACTTCCAATGGCAAAGTTACACAACGAGAAGGTGCTTTTGGTGCTGTCTTTGGTCATACTAGTCTTACAGCACAAGCAAAAGTGATTATTAATTGTGAAACAAGACAGAATAAATGAAGGATTAGAATCAACATGAGCATAAACAAAACAATATTCAAAAGAATTTCCGTTTTCCTGGTCTTTTAGGTCTCATGAGAAAACAAAATTGAATGCATGGTACATACGAATAGAATAAGCATAAACGATAAAACTTTATTTCTTTTTCTCTTCAGAGTTTACACAGAAAGACATGGAAATCTTCTTTCGTTTTCTCTTGTTCTTTTTGTTCTTCTTTCAGCTAATGCCTAACACATTTCCTTAAGCCTGTGTAATGGTGTAACTTCGCTCTTTGAGTGGGTGGGAGGAGCTTTAGGAATAAATTTGCCCATAAAAAGCGTGGTGTTATTTTTTATGTTGTTTCCTAAGCTGAAAGAAGTATAAAATATTGAAAAGAAGAATATGATTTTGATGTTTTTTCTGTAAACCCTCGAGAGAGTCATAAGCACGCTCGTTGCTTATGCTTGTGATTACGTAGATGTTAATGTTCCAACTTTTGCTTATTGTTTTTCTTTAACACTTTATTGACACTTGACACAACATTCAAAATAGATATATTCTATTCAAACAGTTCATGAAAAAAATTATTGCTTTGTTCAGACAGTTGGATTGGCTGGATTTGAACAGGACGTTCTATACGAGAAGGGATTACGTTGGTTTTATTCAGTTATTTTGGGGATGATTGACGTATTATCAGTGTACCGTATGTCAAGAAGCATCCTATGGTGATACAGGTGAGCCATCACCCCTCAGATTAAGCTCTAGGATATGTTTGCTACAATGACGGAATCGTTGTAACAAAGTCTTCTGTTCTTACTTCATATGCTTCATCTTGTTTTATACAGTTTTCCAAAATGACTCAACTGTAAATATTGTAAAACAAGCACGATTAAAAGCGTGTATATAAATTTGTAAAATTTAAGAATTGCCCAAGAATTTGTCCAAACAATTAATTTTTTGAGAAATTTCCAGAAATTTCCTTCAAATAGGCCATTCTTTTCTGAGAAATTTCCTTAGAAATAAGACCACATTTGACCATCGTTATCATGTTAACTACTTCATGTAAAAGTTATATATCGTCTTCCAAGAAAACAACATAACAATTTTTAATTTTAAACCTCACAAGCATTCGTTCTCCGCAAGAATATTTCTCTCCACATATCTGTTGTAAAAGAGTGAAAGACAAATAATATTTTAAAGAACATATAAAGTTTTTTTTGAAAGCTGAAACAAGGTAATAGATATATATGTTATTGTTATGCCTGAGTCTGACTTTGAGTTTCATAGCGGGAAATTGAAACGATATTTATTTTTTATTTCTACATAGCAAAGATATTTAAGTTTTTTTTCCTACACAGCCAATATTGTGAATAATCTTTTGTATAACATCTCTAACTAAAGCAATATCGTTAAAATGGATAAAGTTCAAGAACTTTCTGAAGCACTGCCTTTACCAAGTCAGCCATTCTTAAACGTCGAAGTAAATGAATGCAAAGAAAGGTTAGTTCATAATATGAACAAAGGACTGTATGCAGAAGGATATTGAATTGCATTTCATGTAATAATCTAGTTGAGTGAGTCTGTGTTAGTGAAACCATGCTACAGGTGAAACTAGGTAATGAACAAATCATGTTTTTGTTTTGTAAAGAAACTTGAATAATTTTAATATGTTACTAGATTGACGTCACTGGTCATATGTTGTGCTTCAACAGACTCACTTCTTCAAATACCACTGTGCTGTCAAAACGTGAACAAAACCATTTATTCAATTTAATAATAAGCATTAACATCTTAATAGTATTTACCACTTTATTTTAGCACTATCCCAGAGTATAGAATTATAAAGCTTGTCAAAGACTTTCTTATCAACATGAAAACAATTCATGGCGACTCATGTTTCGTAGAATTTGTTGATCCTTTTTAATGGAACATGTCAAGAGCATAACTATTGTGTATGACACAGATAATTTTTCAACATATGGCAAGGTTATTGACCCTATGATCAGACAATATTTACGCATGTGTGAGAGTAGGTTGTTCACACCCCTGGTATGTCACACATCCCTTTTTGTTGAACCCCCACGGAAAAGAAAATGCAAGAACTCCTAGAGGATTGACTTAGTTTGATAATGAAGATTTACATGAAGTACATATTTCTGTCAAACCTTCATAATTCTTTTAACAGATAATTGATTTGAAAAAAGTTATGCTAAAGTATCATGTCTATCAACTTCATGATGGGGGGCATGGATATGAAGAACTTGAAGAACTCCATCTTTTTAAAATCACTCCCAAACAATGACATTTTCAAAGTATATATTAGTCACGTGTTTGAATCATATTTTAGAGGCGTGGATTTCAACATCATCTCGTGAAATAAAGTTACCTTATTACATGGTAAGTTAGTTTCCTTGGTAACCAGACGTGAGTCCTTGCGTCATCGTCCGTCACGTGTATCTTTTTACGAATCAAATTAGATTCTATTTTTGCGTGTGTTGACTTTGTAACAACTCTCATCTTAACGGAGTAAATCTCTTATCACTCATAACATTCAAGATTGAAAATCACATATCAAAGTATTGATAAGAATAAGTTAGCTACAATCAGATAGAATGAAACGCGAGAGACGTGATGGTGTTTTAACGAGCCAACTATTAAATGACGTCAAGGCTACCATGTTTGTGTACCGCTGTGACGTCACTCGAAAACAAACAACGAAGCCAATCAAACACCAGCATTTACCACTCATAGTACATCATGTTTGTCTTCACGTGATCTACTGCAAATATCCAGAAGAATGAGTTGAGCTTTTCTTTAAAACTTTCACAGAGCCAACCGGTACTGGTGAAACATCCTTATGCAAGGCGCTTGCTCAAAAATTATCCATACGACTTTCTAAAAGGTAAAAACACTACATTTTATTTTGATGTTACGTAAATCGCAATCCATTACTATCCATGTGTGTACTGCAACTAATATTGCCACGTAATTTTATTGTTATGTCGTGAATTATAAATACAAAGTATAATCCGAAAAAGGACATGTTGTAAACTCAACATCAAATTTAGAAAACAAGACGATTAAAATGTAAATATTACACTTTCAATTGTTTTGCTTTGTAACTTTATTTAAGTTTACAAGATGTTCTTTTGGCATTATCTTTACTTTGTTTTAATGAAATTGTCGTCTACCTAAGGATTATGAACTATAAATTAAAGTGTGTTTCTACTTTTGAATCCTTAGATTTAACTATGGCCAGCTTATTGAAATAAACATTCACAGTTTATTTTCCGAGGTAGGCATCATTTTGAATAGCTCAAAGCAACATCACCGAGTGCGAAAATCCTCTGGAACCAAAATTACATTGCCATAAATTTTCCGTGAAACCTTTGTCGTCACCCCCTGTCAATATAAAATGCACGGCTCACATCAAAATATCAGTTCAGAAAACTGACATTTATATACCTGGGATTGAGATGTCGTTGAAGTTAATAAATCTAGTTCCGTATCACAAAATGATCATATCCAATTAAAAATAGCATCTGTAATTTAAAATGTACATTGACATTATCTTTCCCTACAAACAGAGTGGAAAGTTAATGATGAAAATGTTTCAGAAAATTCAAGAGTTTATTGACGACAAATAAACTTTAGTTTGCGTTCTTATCGACGAGGTAAACTTTGCTTAAACATTTCTTTCTTAATGCTCATGGTCAGATAGATGAGAAATCATTTACTATTTGTGTTTCTTGTTTCACAAAATACCCGAAGCACATGTACGCTTGTCGGTAATGTTTAAGGAAAATACCTTTGCTATCCATATCTTTTACTTCTGAAGGTTGAAAGTTTAACATCGGCAAGAAAATCTGCGTTGAACGGACAAGAACCTTCAGATGCCATTCGTGTTGTGAATGCATTTTCACTCAAATTGACCATATAAAACTGTAAATGCAAAATATAAGCAGAATATGCATTTCGGCGAACATTGCGTTCTCATGGATTTTTTAGTGAACTAAGAGATTGTATTCGGTTATATGAACGGCGAGGCCAGCCGGCAGGGTTGTTGCGTTATGTATTATTTAATAAAATAGAGACTTTGTAGAAAATAGTTCTAAAGATAGCAAATACCATAGTAAATGGTAAAAGTAATATAATAAGTTGATAGTTCTTACAAGAACTGTTGTAAGTAAAGAGCACTAACCCAATAGTTCTAAATTAAACGACACGATGCATTTCGGCAGACTACTCCTCAGGTGTCAACGTCTGCTGAATGAAAATTTACAATCTACCGATATTTATAATGCCAAGACAACAGTCTTTATCAACTTATTATATTACATTTACCATTCACTATGGTATTTGCTATCTTTAGAACTATGTATTATTTCTTTCTCTACAATGTTGTCGCTTTTACAGGAGTAAAAGCACGAAAATATTTATATGACATGAACAAACTTGCTTGATGACAACTTTGCTCAGTCAAATACTTATTATCTATCAATTACGTATTTACAGAAGTCTTGATTTGAACTACATTTATGCGTTTATTTGCTAAACCTAGTCTTCCCCAATGTTGTTTTCTTCTTATTTCAGACATCCTAATGTAATTATATTGACAACATCGAACATAACTAGAGCCATAGACGTTGCGTTCGTGGACAGATTGAAAAATATGTTTGTGACTCGAAAGTTTTTAAATTCACTTTCTCATCTAACTTCGCTATTTGTTCGCCCACAGAGCCGACATCAAACAGTATATTGGTCCGCCATCAGCCAAAGCTATTAACAAAATTTACCATTCTTGCATCAAGGAACTTGCAAGGGTAGGGTATTCAATGTTTTTACCACAGGATAAGAAAAAATATAGTTGAAACAGCACTATTTGTTTGTATGTAACTTATGTCTTCTTGTGCACGTGATCAACGAAATGGCTGCCGGTCAATTATGTTTTCTGGCCAAAGGGAACGCCGAAATGGCTTACCGCAACCTATCATCATATACAATATAAAACAACAATTTGCCTCGTGAAGTATATCCCCTCTTCTCAGTACTTTGTACCTTTACGTCTACTGCTTTATTTCCATACCACAATATAGTCGTTTGTGCAAGTTATACAAACATGTTGCTTAAATAGAGAGGTGTGCAGCTATATAGAAATTGATTGCAAACGATTGCATTGTAGATAATTTTTTAATAATCAAAATTAATGTTCACCGTTTCATCACAGACCAGTATCATATCACCAGCCACTCAAATTTTGGATTTAAGGTACAACTGAAAAAATACACGAAATTTTATTTTGACGAAAATTGACGGTGTTTGTTAGAAATTTTTTTGTTCACTTCTATGTTGATGACATGGTTTTCTTTTCCGATGTACAACTTTTTTTCCCTATTTTCCATTGTAGCTTTGTCGACAACGATGTAACACACTGTAGTCTTGAATTAAAGAAGATAGCCGAGTAAGTGAGTAGATGTTTGTAGATGTAGATCGTCGAGGTTAGTGGTGTCCTGCGAAGGACTGTTGATGTTGATGTTGACTGACTTCTTAACAACCTTAGCGGTAGTCATCTTTAGAGTCAGCATCAACAACAACAGTTCTTTTCAGGACTTTACTAACCTGGACGATCTACATCTACAAACATGTAACGATACTCCCATGTTCAAACCTTTCACTTTAAAGTAAAGTGATGTCACAGAGTAAAATAAACATTTCTTGTCTTAGTTTATGGTAAATATTATGTCACCCAGTCTTCATGTTTTCAAGTTAGTATTCTTCTCGTTTTACAAAGAAAACGAAACTACGCCCGGGGGGATTTTCAGAAGTTGTCTGAACCTTGGCAGTATGTTCTAGTTTCTTTTATGAGAAGAATTCTTGTAAAGAAAAAAGACAAATTTTGAAAGGAAAAAAAACCCCGTTTTCGGTCCATGCTTCCCGATACCTTCTTAAGCGTAAGGCACTAAAACGCGGCATGTTAACGTTTCGGTAGCAGATTTCGGCCCCTCCACGCTATCCTACTTGGGAGATGCAATAGCAAGCTTCCGCCCATCAGACCCCGAGATCACCTGCGATAGGCTTTGCTCGGGGTACGCAGGGAGAGTGCGGTCGCCACCGAAGTGTGGACCCCTAAGCCACTGCATACTATATCGCACCCAGCTTCCACTGCTAGTTGACATCTACTATATGAAGCTATAGATTTATATTTATATATACAAAAATTTAGAGGCTTACGAAATTTGTGGTATTATTAAAGTCACAACTGCGCATGCCCAGATAATTTCTTTGATAATTTGCGATTAAGTGGGATAATTGCCACAGATGTAGTGCAAGTACATCTAGTTAGTCGTTGCCATGACTATAAACAATTAGTCGAGTGGGCTGCGAATGCTCGAGCGCATGCGCAGATGATTTCTCCATTAAATTGTTACTAAACATGCTATTTACTTCAAAATCGGGGCTAGTAGATGCAATTGGTCGTCGCCATGACCATGAACATTGGCAGCCAATCAATTTAACTGCGCATGCTCAGTTGATATCTTTAATAGTTTGTTAATAAGCAAGTTATATACTCCCTAATTGATGCTAGTAAATGTAGTTGGTCGTTTCCATGACTATCAACTCGGACAATTGGTCAAGTGGACTTTGCATGCTTGAGCAGCTGCGCATGCCAAGCGTACTGCGCATGCTCAGATGATCTTCTTATATTTTGTGACCAAGCGATTAATTACTCAGTAAGTGATGAAAATAGGTCCAGCTTGTTGTTGCCATCACTATGAATATGAAAAATTTGTTAAATGACTAAATTTCTCATTATGATTGAAATTTATGATTTCCCAATATGGACCAAGTGAACCACAGAAGGATCAAGCTTGTTCTGTTTGTCATTGCTATGATTGTAAACTCGAACAGTTTGTTGAGTTGTTTGTGCATGTTCAGATGAGTTCTCAAATAATTTAGGACTGAGGTTTAAAATATACCGTCTTAATACTTGCAACATAAATAAAATTTAACTTTGTATTACATCTACATTTAAGGCGTAAAGATGTTTTTTCTTTGTTATCGTAGTCAGTAGTTATCAAGTAATGGACCACTCTCAAATAATCACGAATATTGGTTGACTTTTGGTTAGGTTTCTTTGGGAGGCCCTTCTCCTTTTGAACTTGCAAGGAGCAGTCAAGCGTCTCACTGTGATAAACCTACGAAGTATTCTTTCTCTCATTTTCTTGTTTAGAAAAAGTTATCAACTAAGTGGTCGAACTCTTCGTAAACTACCATTCCTTGCACATGCGCTGTATTCGAAAGTAAGTAATACGAATTAAAGCCTTCACCCGTGTTCTT